GATTTTTTGCAATTTTTTTCAAAAAAATTTGTAAGGGAAGCGGTTAAGAATTTTATAAGTTTTGAATAAAAGCTTATGTTATAAAACTTTTAAAATTTTTGTCTTCTTAACCTTAATAACTCATTTTCAATGAAAAATCATTTTCCAAAAATGAATAAAAATTTTTTTACTTCCAATAAAGTAAATGAATAACAATGAATATTTTTTTTTTTTTTTAACTTCCAATAAATGCCTCAAATAATCAAAAACATTTTCTGACTTTTCAATCAGAAATCAGAAGTTATGTTAAAAATATCATAGAAATTTCAATTAAAAGAATATTTTACGTCAGTGCAAACGTTAAAGTTATGACTTTTGTAGTTTGTCTTGCAAACGAAAATATGTGTAAAAATCGTGTCAACATTAATTAAAAAAAATTAATGGAATTTTATAAAATTTGTTTTACCACATTGTATTATCATCCGCAATCAATATGTTTACAAAATTTGAACTCGATAGCTTATCAGGAAGTAATATAAAAATCTTCTGTTCATAGCCCCAAATACCATGTCTTAACTAAATATGTGCTACTTCTTTGCAGAAATATTATGCTGTTTGAAAGAGGTCATCAGAAGTAATTTCGCATATTTTTAATTATTTATATAACTACTTATACTTCGTGCATTTTGCAGCAATTCTTTCATTTAAAATTTTTTTTTGCCTCTGCCACACTTAATGATCTTATCACCATTCTGATGAATCTTGAAGGCTCTGAAAAACCAAACTTTGAGTAGGTTCTCATAAATTTAACTTGATAAATACTTTAAAAATACAACTGTTCTTATATGAGTAGAATTTATCGCCCGATGGAAAGGTTTTGCTAGATTGCTTTAGACTGATTTTAGGTTCTTTTTTCTTAATTTTCAGTTGCTGTTGCCCTACAACAACCTCCCGAGAGGACTTTCAGCTCGCTGCAAATTTGGAGTGCCCCCATGCTGCACGGACACATTGCTTAAAATTATTTGCAGTCTAAAGCAAATTTGATATTAACATGTTTTTACCTTAATATTTCTCTAGAAAGATAGAATGATAGCTGTCAATACAGACGGGTTTAATGTATTTGGATTACAACGAAACACGCAATTGTTTATCAGCCCAAGAGGAAGAAAACTTTCTAAGAGGATCTGACTTATATTCTCGTTCCACTCGTAAAAAAAGCCAAGGAAACTTCCATGCAACCAGCTCGTTGGCCAGGATTTGAACCCATGTCGAGCTCGCTGTGCTTAGCGATTTTAGATGCTCTGCCAGTGGAGATCCGGAGTCTTATTTAAAATCTTGTTTAGAAATCTTCTACCCTAATTTAGTGTGATAGTTGTAGTATGAGGGTTAGGGTTATTTAAATATAACAAAGCATACGAGAGCTACGGGCCTTCGTGGAGCCCTTTCAGTGGGAAACTGGGTTTCACATGTAGAAAACCACAAAAAACAAACAGGCAGGAATCCCGTCTCTGAGAAACAGAACTCATTATTTTCCTTTAATCTGAAATCTAAAACAAATAAGATAAAAAACGGAGCTTTTTGGAGGAGCTGTATTCAGTATACGAAATTTATTTAAAATAAGCTGTAAGTTTTAAGTACAGTTTTGATATAAGCAAATAGTAGTTTGCCTATGCTAACTGCCCCAGTGGATTGGCTGCCTTCACTGTTCGGTGGAAAAAAAGAAAGTAGTTTAGCTTTAACGTATGTTAACTAATGTAACTGAACCATGCATGACCAGCAGCTCACATGTATCATTCTCTATTAATTCATTAAATGAAGATTGGTTCATCAGATAAATTTTGCTTCTTCCAGTGCCAGTTACAAATCGTACAGCTATTCAATAACATTTGAACTATATCGTTAACATTGCATATTGCTAAAATGTACTTGTTCTTTAAAGTTCTTGATCTGTTCTAAAAATAGTACCGCAGAAGTTTCAGAAATGAAATACAATTTAAAACTACTTAACATTTCTATGCATATAAAAAAGTAAAACTGTTTAAAATGCATATCATTCAATGCTTCCTGTTTTATTTGAAATAATATTTCAAAAATAAAACTCGTGTTGGTTACGACCCAAGCAATACTTAACGGGATAAAGAGCCGTAGTCTTTGATAATGCTTAGGATCATGCATTCAGTTTTCGTCGTTTTAATAAAATCCATTATGATACTTATGTAATTATAAACTGCATTTATGTATAATTATAAACAGAATATATGCATTTACGATACCAATACTTATGTTGGTAATTTATAAAGAAGTATGATTAATACACTAATATCACAGAATATACGCTTTTTATGCTCTGACAAGTTTTGTCAAGATACCAATTTTTAGTTCATATACAAGTCGTAAATTCCCTAGCCAGATTCCATTTTTATATAAATAGATGGATAAAGGATAAAATGGAACAGTTAATTATATTTTTTATTCTTTTACAAAATTTAATTCTTTTAGATATAATTTTTAATGGTAAACGATATTCTGCTAAGATATAATATAAAAATTATTATTAATAGTAATTTACACCCTAATATTTGTATCCTAATTTAATAATATTTATATCCTAGTTTATATCACTCAAAACAGAAAACTCATTCAAATCATATTTAATCAAAGCATTTTATGCAGTTTTGGGAAAAAGGAATTTTGGGGTTCGTTTGATTTTTAACGGTGAATTCAGTCATTGAAACATTTTTACCGTGTTTCCTCATTCATATAAAATTAACAAAATAATTTACTAAATAATTTTTAGATGTAATAGTATTCTTGTTTATCTTTTGTTATATGACTAAAAATAAATAAAAAAGCGGCTGGTATTCAATATTTATTTTTATTTAATTATTTAATAACAATACTTGGCTATTGGTACTTAAGACATAGTTTTTCCATATTATCACTTTTCTATTAGGCCTTGAAATTATGTTAAGGACCTAATGGAATTCGCAAAATCCTATGATTGCATAAAACTGCGGGAGGTGCTAATAATGACAAGTTTTAAATGAAAATGGAAATTTATTTAAATAGACCAATAGAATAGAAATTTATTTGACTATAATTATTCTTATATTCTATGTCATTTCAGTACTATAATTTCAGTTATTAGCTTAAATACTGCAACTTAGTCACATAATTTGTAAGTCCCACGATTTTAAATTTATGCATAAACGAGCAAATATATTTCGCAAGTTAAAATATATATATATTTTACAATTCATTTAACTGAAACCGTAAGAATCAAAAGGGATTTTTGTGCGTGTCTGCTTTATGCATTTAATGTATAAAATGCGGAAAAGTGAGAAAATTCATCCAACACAGAGAAATAATTCTTTCTAGTCTGTGGTAAGATTGTATCAAATTCGTTTAAACTTGTGTTTAAATTCGAAATGCGATCTCTCAAATCAATGAAAGAATACATTTTTGGTTTTAAATTCCACATTAGTAGCAACTGTATAATAGCTAAACTTACCAAAATATTTGTAGAAAACCACCAAAATTCTAGAAATTGCTATAAAATCCCGAAAAACATTAGGAAGATTCCTGCTTGCCAACTCCATGCTGAAAAGATCAAGCATTTACGAGGATGAGCTTGACTGTTAACGAACAACTTGTGGAAAAAATTCAACGCTAAAATATAAATACGTATGCCAAATTTTCCAAAAATTCCTGAGAAATATTGTACTTTCGTAAATATATATGGACTTATAATGTGAAGAAAACTGCGCTGGTAAAAAAAGGATTAAAATTTAATTTCCCAAAATAAATTGGCCTACTAAAACTAAATAAAATAGATTAGTAAATAGTAAAAAAAAGTGTAACAAAATAAATAATGATCTTTCTTAAAACACTTCCCAATAAAACATGTCGAATAATTGAAAATTTACAAGCTTGAAAGCTAAAATTCTAAAAAGGTTTCGGAAAATTCGGATGTCACATATTAAAAAAAAAACAAGTGTACAAGCTACAAGTACAAAGAAAGAGGAGAGATGAAACTAACACAACTTCTTGCCATTCAATAGCGGGGAGGCAATTTTATGGCTTATCCATCACACTAAGGGGAAGCAAACCTACTGCTGGGCCATCTTAGAGAGATTTCAGAAAACGAAAGCGATTTTTTTAGAGGGGTTTGTTAACTGACAACACGGCCATTTTCAAAGCATTTCATTCCGAGGGGCGGGCTCGTTAATGGGTTGAGGTGCAATATAGATCCAAAAATTAAGAAGCACTGATTATTGACAAAAGCAGAAAATATCTATGTCTGAAAGGTATCAAGAATTTAGCTTACCACAAGAACCAGAACTCAAAGATAACAAAAAGTACTTTTACTGATTTTCATTTGAAATGGGACATGCCTAGTAGCATACAAATGATTGAACTGAATAATTTAACCCTCTGAGCATTATGATCGGCTTTATCCGGTCATCAGGAGTCTGATTTACTTGGCATATATTAGCTTATAATTTAAGATATTTTGCTTCCCTACTTTCTTTAATGATGAAAATATCACCTTAATGAATAGTTTGTGAAAATACAGGCTAAAGTAATTATACAAACTCAATTAATAAATGCTGTTTAAATACCAGTCTTCACGATGGATCTAAAATCCTCTGCCATTCAGAGGGTTAAAAACAAATTCCTTCTTAAAAATGAAATTTGATGAGCCTTTTGCACTAAAAAATTTAACACCAAGAGTTTAAAAGGCTATCATAATCCAAAAAGGCTCAAAAGTTTCATGAATAGTAAGTATTGTTTATGTGCTGTAACAGGTATTATTTATATACAATGATTAAATCATTTAAAAAGTTAATTATGCCTATAAACATACTTCTACATAAACTGTCTATAATCATGGATGTAAGACAGTATAAAAAGTGCTTGAATTATGATGTGTATCTGTACTCATCTGCCAAAAAATTGGTGCAAAAGGCTGGCCACCCCTGCTTTCACTACACACAAAATTATACAAAATTTAAACTTACCTCAACACTAAAAGTTAATTCATATCCTAATTCCTTTACACCATGCTCTAATAAGAAAACTAAACCCTGATAGAATGAATAATCTTCACTTTCCATATCTGTATACCTAGACAACAAAGAAATCACAAGTAATAAGTGATACATACAATTAGCTATTAATAAAAAGCAATCAAATGCAACATCCCTCAGGGTCCATATAATATTAGACATAGATAACTTACTTTACATATTTTCCTAAAATGTGCTTGTAAAATGATCTAGTGAAATAAGATTCCAACAACTTGTTGTCATATACTGCCTTGGCTATAACTCTTCCAACAAATTTGAAGTAACTTAAATGATTTGAATTACAATGGGATGAAGAATTTATCATGTATGTAACTCTATCACCTGGAGAAGTTGTAAAAAGAGCATACATTGGATTAAATATTTCTCTGGAAATAATAGTATACCATTCCCTAAGCAAACCACCAGCATCCTGCCCTTCTTCTCCTTAAGGAAAAAAAAAAAAAAAAAAAAAATTTAGAAACATTTATTAACATATATATCAAACTCCAATATATTTAAATCAACAAATCTTTATACACAAAAGTAATTCAAAATGACAAGGCACTAGAAATGTTTAATGGAAAAATAAATCTCTCAAACTTACTTACAAAAAGGAAATTTTATTCATATATTAATTACTCATATCTAACATTGGAAAGGAATATAACTTGCTTAAATGTATCTTAAAAGAGAAAAGCAAAAATGAGTTAAAATGTAATTATTTTCATAATTGTGTTCTGATCTAATACATTATTTATTTTACTTAGATGTTTATATATTATTTTAGTTTCTGTAAAATAAAAGATAGTTTTCTGCCCATATTTTACAATAAGTGATTCTCTATAACGTAACTCATATTGTATATTTCAATGATTATATACTGGGTGTACCGTAAATGTTCTGACAAACTTCTTGGGAAGGTAGGGTACATCATAAGGATTAAGAACTGCATAGGAACCTATACCCGGAAATGTCAGGGCTAAGTGGTAGATGGGAAAGGAAATAAGATAGTGATTAATTTTAAACATTTATTAGACAAGAATACAAATAGTGTTTTGACATCTTGAATGTTACAACAGATGCTCAAAGTTTGCACCATCAAACGCCAAACATTCCTGACACTGACGGACCATTGATTGCCGAACATGTTCAAACACAGCAAGAGTTTCTTTGATTGTAGCAGCTGTGTAGGCTAGTCTTGCCATTAGGTCCATTTCTGATACAACAGGATCATGACACAAAGACAAAAATATGCAATCTAAAGTGGCCAAGATTGGAGGGGGGGGGATAATTCAAAGCAACAGGGCAATGAATTCATATTGTCACAATGAATTATGAAAATACAAAAGAATACAATTTAAAGCTTTTATTTCTACCATAAACACATACTAATCTCTTGCTAGTGCACACTGATTAAAAAAAAAGCATTATTTTATTAATTTTCATATACAGTTAGAATAAAAGTAAAATGATTAAAGATGGTTAAAATTACGTAAAAAATTATATATAAAAAATGCAAACTGTAATTGTGATTACGCATACAGCTCATTTACATGCAACCGAATGATTAAAAATTCAAGGCCATAAGACCCATCAGTGGCTAGCAACTGAAAACTGAAAGTTCAAATCAGCAACTGCTCAACTCCTTGGTTGACAATGCATGCCTGTAACAGGGTTGCCACATAAACAGGAGAATGAAATTCCCCGACCTTTCCAGGTGTGTTTGAAGAAAATTTCAAGCAATCCATGTAGTGCACATTAGATGAGCTCAGGGTAAAATAATTATGGTATCACTTTACATTCAAAGTGTATACCATAAATGTTGTGACAAACTTCTAGGGGTGGTAGGGCACAATTAAGAACTGCATAGGAACCTATACCCGGAAATGTCAGGGCTATGTGGTAGCAGAGGTAAATCGGAAAGGAAACAAGACAGCAATTCATTTTAAACATTTATTAGACATGAATACAAATGTTGTTTTGACAGCTTAAATGTTACAACAGATGCTCAAAGTTTGCACCATCAAATGCCAAACATTCCTGACACTGACGGACCATTGATTGCCGAACATGTTCAAACACAGCAAGAGTTTCTTTGATTGTAGCAGCTGTGCAGGCTAGTCTTGCCATGAGGTCCATTTCAGATACAACAGAATCGTGACACACGATGCTTTTGATGGCTCCCCACAAAAAGAAATCAAGGCTCGATAAATCTGGTGAGCGTGGGAGCCTGGGAACTGGTTCACCACGCCCAACCTATGGCTATTAACATCCAGTCCAAAATGAGCAGGAGCCCCATTATGTTGGAACCACATGTTGTGTCTCACATTTGGTGAAACATCGTCAAGCAAGCTGGAAAGAACTTGTACTAGAAACATCAGCTAATTCGCAGCATTCAACATGGATGGTAAAAGGTACGGCCTGACTAAGCAGTTGGCAACCAAACCCGCCCATATATTGACTTTAAAGCATTGTTGCGCTGCACAACGTGGCACTTTTCTTGAGCCCCACAAATGCTGATTGTGATGATTGAACACGCCATCCTTAGTGAATGTTGCCTTACCCATGAACAGCAAATAAGCTGGGAAATTAACATCACGAGCACTTTCTTGCTGAAACCACTGTGCGAAACATGCACACGTTCAGGATAGTCATCGGGGAGCAGTAAGTGAACCCTTTTGGAGCCAAAAGGTGTGAAAGGACTCAGCGTTCAAGACACACTGGACACTGGTATGAGACGTTCTTAATTGAGAAGCAACGACACTTATGCTAGTCCTTGGATTACTCTAAACTGTATTCAACACATTTTCTTCCCTAACGACCCAGCAAGTCGATCATGGCCTGCCCTCACTTGTCCAGCTACTTCTTAATGACCCGTAGTCAAACAAATTTTGATGCAGACGTGCAAACAAACTGTCGTGTGGTCAATGTCTGGGAGGAAGCGTTCACGATAAATGCGTACAGCGGCTCGTCCATTACCCTCAGCTATTCCATACACTAAGTGCACGTCTGCAAGCTCTCTATTCGTATAGCGCTCAGTGCTCTTCGTATGGTGCCTACTGCTCGAATGAGGAAATCCTCACTCACTTTCCACTAGCAGTCTTCTGTACAGCACCCTTGGTGGTGTATAGCGAATAAGGATCACGTGTTTACACGTGGGTTTCTATGCAATTCTTATCCTTATGGTGTGCCCTACCTCCCCTAGAAGTTTGTTGCAACATTTACGATACACCCTGTTTACACTACGTATATGAGCAACATTACATAACCTTTCATACATGGTGCATACTGATAATAACTAGTGACCCTTAAAAGAGTATAAAATTAGATATTTTCAAGTTTTTAGAAATTTACTGGCAGACACTTCAAATTCATTGCATTTTTCTTCATGGAATTCCTTCACATTTTGTATGCATACACATACACTCAATTAAGACAGTCTGGAGCCCAAGGGCACAGGAACTTATTAGGTGGCCCCAAATGCCCATTTCCCATATTTTTATGAAGAAAAGAACAAGATGGCTTCTAAATTTGAGTCCTTAGATTCTCTACATACAAGAAAAAGATAATGAAGTAAAATCTGGCAACAGTTCAACAGCTCACAAGAATCACAATCTTAACTGGTTTAGGAAAAAAGTGACAAATATGGCACTATTACCGCATGCAAGTCCATGAAAGTCTATTCAGATATAATAAATATATTTTAATATTTCTTCTTTCAATTTTTTAAGAATCACCTCCCTTCTCCTCCTGTTGATGGTGCTGATATAAAAAGTGCCTATTTTAGAATTGATAATTTTTGGACTAATATAGGAATAATAAAAAAATATTCTTGAAAGCTTAGAACTGAAATAATTAATATTTTTAACCATTAAAAATGTAAAATAAATTTAGTTTTTCCAAATGAATTTATCCAATAAATTACCCAGGTAGACACCTAAAATTCATGTCATTGGTTTGTTGAACTAAGCCTGCAAAAATATGTAACACAAAGATAATTGTTTATTGCTTTCAAGTGATGTGTTTATTTCACTTGCAATTGATTAATTTTTCGCTAGAAAAGGAAAATTAAATATCCTTAACACATTGATACATAAGCAAATTCAGGAAAACTAAGCATTAACACTAATAACTGTAAATCATGGGTAATTTATTAAGTATTAGGTGAACGAAACTGCTGCAGCATGAAAGTCTATTTTATATGATCCACTTTTTGAACTAGAGTGATGTTTTTGCAATCAGCTGTTCAAAAAATATACAAGTGTGTTGTTTCCTTTAAACACAATCCGGAGAGATTACATAGATAATGTTTTCCTGAAATCAAAATTTCACTTAGCATGGGTAATCATTATTTTACATTTCATTAAGAATGACTTTTGCAATACTTAAGTTATCAGTGCCATCAAGTTTTCAATGAATAATTTCCACTTCCTGAGCATTAATCAAAGCCTTAGCACTCCATCAAGCAAATAGTTTAGGCCAGTTGTGACACTGACACCTAATGCGAAACAACCTGAGCAGTGCAATATGAGTACAATTCTCATTGTCGATGCCGCTGAGAACCTACTCCCAAATTACAAAGCTATTGATCCTGCATCAACATGAAGCTTGAAGAACCAGTGTTGAAGACTTGTTTGATCTGCTCTTTAGAACAGGGCTCCGGATATCTAAAATCCCTAGTCTCATTCAAAAATAACTCTATACTTTCTCTAATGGTACTTTCACAGTTGGAAGCATTTTCAATATTCCTCTTTAGGAAGGATTATAATATATCTAAAACTTTCACTTCTCAGAAAATATCTTCTCAAGTTTCAAGTTTAAAGCATTATCAGTAAGAAAAGAAAGCCTTAATTATATACAAAGAACAGGTTGGATTATTAGATTAGGTAGATACAGCAAAATCTAAGAAGGCTCTATGTATAAGAAATGTCTTTTTAACAGAAACTAACAAATATTCACATTACAATTAAGAAATTCCCAAAAATCCCATCCATCCAGTCCACTCATGAGGATCCATCACATGGATGCACCCTGCCAAATGCATACAAATTTTCATTATGTTACTTAAACTTTCTGTATAGGGTTTGACTGCTATATGTGCATGGCAAGATTTTTTTGGTAATTGCAGGGTATGTAGTCTGCAGTGAAGTCCTTTAGCAGATCTTCTACTCACTATGAAGAAATTTCTATTTTAGTGTCAGGAAATGTATTTCTAACGTTAAAGTGAAATTCAGGGCAGCAATATGTTAACCATTTTGAAACTAATTCCCTCTTTTTGCAGTAACTCTCAAGCACTTAGTGTTTGTGGCTAACTACTTTCTATTTTCTCTCATAAATGAAAAATCACAAGAAACCCATGCTATCAGCCCCTTACGAGGACTAGTTACCAGCATTCTATGGTTTTAGATATTTATGCACAGAATAATTTTATTTTTTCAATAAATCACAATACAGAATACAAATATAATCATAAAAAATGAAAAAGTATTATTATACATCAGAAAAAATAATAAAACTATGTGAAAATAAGCACAGTTTCCTCAAAATGAAGAAAAAATAACAGTATCTGTAACTAGGAATGAGATGAAAGAAAAATTCAGCTCATAATACAAATTAAACTGCACTTACCTTCAAAAACTATATAGAACCTGTTTTTCCATTCCTCAGGAGTTCGACGATGCAGTTCTCTAAATGAATCTTCAAAAACATGCTCTCTTCTTACATGAACTGCTAAATCTTCACGTCGAGAGCCTTCATCCATTCTCTCCAGTTCTTGTCTGAAATATCTACGTTTCACATCAAAATCTAACACTCTGGTATGATCAACAAGAACTGAAAATGGGCCATCTGCTAAAGGTGTAGTAGACTGTCTTAAAATTTGATTTAACACAGTCCGGTGAATTTCTAAAAGGTAATGATTAGTCCTATTAACGACAGAACATACAAAATCAATTCGATAAAATTACAATATACATTTTCTACAATAAGTACTCTTTATAGTAACTTAACAGATCTAATGAGGAAACAGTGTATATATTGTAGAATACAGAAGAAACATTAAAGTACATAGGCTGATTAAAGTTTTGAGACTAATTCTCATATTTAAAATCTGATGGTTTTTAAGGGTCTTATATCTTTTATTCAAATTTGAATCTTCAGCATTTCATACATGATTTAAAAACAGGAAACATACTTTTATGTGACAACCACTTTCAGATTCAAATAATGCATCATTGCACAAAGTTGTTTCACAAATGCCCGTCTTGAAACACACAACACAATGACGCATAACTGCAATTAATACATGTCTTTTAAAGAACTGTATTGTATTCAGCTTAGCCCTTGACGAATCAACAGATATCACAGATCTTCCACAATTGGCAGTTTTAATACGTTTTGTATCACATGTCTTCGTTGTTAAAGAAGAATTATTAGATTTTGTACTTCAAGCGTCAACCCACAGTGTCGATATTAAAAATGCATTAGATTCCATAGAGAAAACTTTTGATGTGCCTTTTAATGAAATTGTAAGCATTGCAACTGATGGAGCTCCAGCAATGCTGGGTTAAAAAAAAATCAATATTCTCAAATTCCAAAACTTATACCAATTCACTGCATAATTCACAGAGAACATCTCATCTAAAATATCTTGCTGTTATGAAAACAGTGTTACACATTGTAAATTACATTCGCACCAATGAAAAAAATCATAGACAGTTCAAAAATTTCCTTGAAGAATTAAAGGACAAAGAACTTCGAAATGACATTAATTTCTTTTCCATTGTTAAATGGTTATCTAGCTACAACATATTAAATCAATTTGTAGATTTGTTTGATCTGATAACTGCCTTTCTAAAAGAAAAGGAAATACTCTATTCAGAATTAGACAATGACAAGTGGTTACAAGACTTAATGTTTTTGACTGATGTCATGGAACATTTGCAAACACTGAATTTACAATTGCAGGGGAAAGATAAAATAATATCTGACCTCTCACAGTACATATTTAGTTTTCCAACTAAATTACAACTTTTTCAAAAGGACATTAAGAATAAAGCATTTTGTCATTGTCCTCGAATTAAAAAAATTTGTTCCAATATTAAACAAGAAAATCTCAATGAGTATGTTTAAAAACTGGAAGGAATAGTGACGGAATTCCAAATTAGATTTCAAGACTTGAAATATTTTAAATTGTCTCTTGACTTCTTTCTGAATCTATTTCAATTTAACATAAGTCAACGTGAGTTTTCCATTTCCAATATAATTATGACCCAAAAAGCATCTTGACAATTAGAATTAACAGAGATGCAAGAAGATCAAGCTCTACAATTAAAATATAAGTCAACGCCGATTACTGAATTTTAAAAATTTGTACTAGAATCAAAGTACAAATTATTAATAATGGCTGCTTGTCAAATTATCTCAATATTCGGAACAACGTACTTATGTAAATCATTTTATTCCACTTTAAAATTTGTGAAATTCAAACACCTATCAGTATTAACTAACCAGCATCTCAAAGAATTACCGAGAAGTGCTGTCACCAATTATTTACAAAATTTTAAAGAATTATCAGGAGAAGTAAAATAAATGTGTTTGATTTTTTATATTTAAATTCAATAGACATATTTTGTACTTTTGTTTATATTTTTTCAATAAATATAATTTCTGTAAAAAAATGTGTAATACCTTTTTTGCATATCTTTTAAATACATATTTAAGCATTATTATTACTATCTGTGTAGCTAGTAAGTGTTCATTAATAAAGGTAATAATAAAATTAATAAACTGCATAAAATTATGACCTCTTAAAAGCAGACTCTATAGAATAGTGTCTGAGAAATACGGAAAGCCACCACAAGTGCTTCCCACTGCAAAGTTAAGTAAGTTGGTTGTCTCAAGGAAAAGTATTGAAATAGTTAATGAGCCTGTATGCTCAGGTAGTAGCACATTTAATGAACTTCAATGCCAACGTCAATCGTTTGAAATTATGAACAGTGGGAGTGTAAAATGGAGTACTGGCTACACTTTTTAGTTAAATAAACAAAAAGAATGGAATTTATTACTATTAGAAGAAAATATCAAAGTGTCTTTATTTAAGTGAAAAAGGACTTTTCTCAAGTTTAAAAGAAAATCCCATCACAAATGCAATGTACAATCATACATATTCAATCAATCAGCCATCTTCTTCACCTGCCCCAATAAAACCAACTAGATACTTCCAATGAACGGGATCAAATATTAAAGATCATTTTTGTACAATTGCAAGTGTCAAGCATAATCATCACGAAACCCAGCATTTGGTTGCATACTAGGAGGGAAAGATAATCAATCTCAGAGCTTCATAACAAACACAGTAGCAGTTAAACAAAATGGTTATAAGTATATAGTCAAGCGTCTCTCATTCCACTGATGAAAGAAACAAAGCTAATTTAATACAAATTTGGGTACCAAAAAAGAAACAAAAATTCTGACTAACCTGCAAATCTAAGAAATTTGACAGTATCGAGTGGCATGGTAGGTTGTGGTGATGTTAGGTCAAAAGAAGAATTAAGAGATGCATCTGATAGAGGGCCTATAGAAGAAACAGGTGACATGGGTGGCATTTCTTGAAGATGAGACATTTCATTTTCCTGGGGATCTTTCCTACTTTCTTTCCTAAAAAAATAACAAGAAAACCACTTAAGATCAAATTATAAAATTTTAAAACCAACTTGAAAATGACAAAATATAGGTAAATATAAATATAAAATCACTTGGGAAAATGATTAAGATTTTACAGACATAATACATGGTGTGAAACAAATAGTAAAAGAATAATATATTAAAAAATAAAAATGAATGCTATAATTTCCCTTTCACTTTTACTATTTCTAATCACTACAAATGTAATATATAGTAAAAATACAAGCAATGGATATTTACATAAAAGTTAAACTATATTAAACAGATCTAAAATTCTTTATTAAGAACCAAATTTAGTAAGAACCAAGATTTCAGAAATAAAAGATACTTTAAAAATAATTTTTCAGCACATTTTAATGATGAACTGATTTTCAAGCAAAATGCATAACAGTTAATAAAATCATATTCAGGTTGTAACACAAAACCTGCAAGTTTTAAATGCTGCGTGAATCAGAGACAAGAACAAAACATTGCCATAAATTTTCATATTAACTGGAATAGACTACATAGTAAAGCTGCAATATATCATAAAGATCATATCTTATGTTCATAATTTTTATTTTATGGGTTCAAATTATGACATACAGCTCCTGTACAAGCCAACAACTTAAGCAAACTACTAAGTGGGAAACAATCATGCCAAAAACAACATAATCAAACAGCTAAGCAGTAAACCTTATGCCATTAGTTTTCATAAAATTCCTATTAAGTAATACAAATCTTCGTACCAAATCTTAAAATTATTTATCCATTACCAGATGAAAGATGAGTGATTAGCACAAAATCAATCCATGCTGTAGTATGGGAGGTTAAACAAAAGTTAATATCCCAGTATTCATATACATTTAAAAAGCCAAAATCCGCCACAAAACTAAAAATGCTACATCTAAATGAGTCGCACCAGGGTTGCCAATCAAACAGGAGAATGAAATTTCCAAACTTTTTCAGGTGTTTTAAGAAAATTCCAATCTATCCACATAGTGCACGTTGGCTGTTGTAGAGATAAATTAATTATGGTACCACTTGAGAACACACAAATTTGCCAATTACATATGACTTATATACTAAAGTGCAAAGTCCGAGATCCAAACGTCTAATATCCGAAATGATCCAAAATCTGGACCTCTAAGCTACCAACAATTTTTTTCTGTATGCTTTACACATGCACATTTGACCCTCCCATGCATAATAGAACATATGGAGAGTGCGATTCGTAATTTCACTTCGGCACTAAATACACCTCATTATTGAAAAACACAAAAATTTTAGTATAAATTTGTATGATCAATAATTTGGTTCTGTAGTTGCATATCTGCCTGGCAAACATCTCAAACCAAAACATTCTATATAAATACATCATTGTTTTTACCCCTACTAATATTTTATAACCCTGACGCCAAACTGGCGAATCATTATTTATTATATTTTGCTTTCATAACCGCATGTTTATTAACACATGACAACTTGAATACTGACACATGTAGCAATGCCTAAACAATATTTTGTATGTTAGTAATTGAATAATAAAGCATATGGTAACCTTTTATGTTTACATTATGCATTATGACATTATGCTGACATTACGAATCCCAAAAGTAATTTTGGTAGATATAGCCAAGACAGGCCAACTGGGCATTCCACTTCCTCAGGCCTCCACCCCCTGCGAACAGGCTAATTCTCAAAAATACCTGGGCACGACAGTAAAATCCTCCGAAATCTCAGGATTGGATTCCCCAGCACCTCCTTCACTCACCCCCTTCAAGAAATTGGACTTCACCAATTCAGAACTTTTTCAAATAGCAGACTCTTCAGACAACAGCACAGTAAAGGTTAACACCCTAATAGATAGTATCCTCACTCACCTTGAAATTCACAGAGGAAGACATAAACTTTCCTCTGATGATCTCGCTGTTATTAAAAACTAGCTAGCAGAAATCAGAATAGTTCTCAGTAAGCATGTTACCAAAATAGCAAAACTTGAAGGAGCACTACAAAAAGCACGTTTCACTCCAGCTTCCTCTCCGTTCTTAACTAGCAGTTTACCTAAAGAAGCAGTTGCAAAGACAGGAAGCTTGGGACCACATTGGATACAGGTCCCAAGCACTACCTCTCCCCAGGCTGAGGTGAGAAGTCCTCTTACAGAAGATGATCTCTCAGAAGTTCCTATACGAACAACACCCTCTGGAGAACAACTCCCCTTAATACAGGGCACAAATGGACTTTTGACAGAAGAAAGAGAACTTCACTCGCAGACTCCCACCAGAAGAGCTTTAGCTATTCCACCACAGGCTCCGTCTGACAAGGGTTTCACAGTGTTCAATGCAAGAAAACTAAAAAAAACAGCTCTAGCACTTTCCAAAACAGGCTGCAACAAGTAAAGCTACAAAAGATCACATACTGCTTGTCAGCAGCAAAGAAGGAAGACAGACGCCCTACTCGATCAAAGCGAAACTAATGGAAGTAATCAAACCCCACAGAATAGGAGTACATATCCTTGAGGTAAGAGCCACTCGATCATAGGAACTCTTTACACGTTGCAAGGAAGCAGCACATTTAGAGAGTCTTCAATCAGCAATTACAGACTCCAGCATTTCTTCACAATTAAAATTAAGAATACCACAGAAAAAGACAAAGAAAATTATTCTCCTAGGCGCTCCTGCCGAATACACATTGGAGGAAATAAAGGATTTTCTCTTCTCATAACTAGAGACCATAACAGCATTTGAATACAACTTCCAAAAGAAAGTCACCAGATTGCACAAGTGATTTAACCGGGTAGTGATGCTTCCACTAGAAATAGGAGAGAAAGTACTTCACTTGCAAAGGATCTTCCTCGGCTTCGTCTCCTGTCCATTAAAGCAGTATCTCAGAGTAACACGCTGCTATAAGTGCCAGAACTTCGGCCATTTCAGCAGCAGCTGTGATCAAGAAACATTCTGTGTCAGGTGTGGGAAGTCACACTCAACAAAAGACTGCGAATCTGAGTTTGAGCATTGTATTAATTGCATAAGATTTAATCATAAGACAGGAGCAGACCATCAAGCATCTGACTCAAAATGTGCAGCGTACCAGCTTATGCTACAACGACAGGAAGAGTCAACCAACAAGGTCATCTGGCTCAATATGGGAACAGGCCAACGTTTACGGGCCTGAAATTCCTACAATGCAATCTTCAAAGAGCCAAGGCAGCTACTCTAAACATCCTCCACATCATGACAACTACCAATACAGATTTAGCACTTCTACAGGAGCCTTACCTAACGGAAAATTACCAGGAGCACCCTCCACCTGCAAGACCTTCTACTCCAAAGGCCAACAAGCAGCCATAATTTATAATGGCCCGCTTAATTCAACAATAATAGAAGACACAGAAAACACAATTACAATCTCTTTGACAACTATCACAGAACAACTACTAGTAATCAACGTGTACTTTCCTCCATCCTTCAACATAGATCAAGCACTCCTAGAACTCAATTCGAATTTCTTTAACTAAAGATCATTAATTCTAGCGGGTGATTTCAATGCAACTAGTCAGCTATGGGGAGCTACACAGGAAGATGGAAGAGCAAGAATACTGCTCTGCTTGATTTCATAGCGCAGCATTGACTGGTGATAGCGAACTCACCACCCACTTTCTCCACTCCAAGAGCTTCAGGCTGGCCAGACATCACACTCTCCTCGCCAGGTATTGCAGGAAAACTGGTGCCTTCCAGACATTCTCTCACTAAGTGACCACAAATTAATCACATTCAAGCTAGGAATCAATTCTCATTACTGGGTCAAACAAAGGTTTAAAACAGCATATGGAGGGCATAATATTTTCATCAACAGACTTGGCCCAGACATAATAGCTCACACGCAAGACCTCAACATCTGTAATACAATAGGGCACCTAGATATAGCCTATGATAGCCTGGTCTCTTCCATAGTTTCAGCAGCTAAATATGCCTATAAGCAGAAAAAATTTAAAGCACGTGATAAGCTAGTATGGTGGAATCCTAACTTAACAGCCAATCACAGTAAAATTTGTGCACTCCAGAGAAGAGTGCAGGCAGAAAAGGATGATGCACTTAGAAAACGCTTCATAATCTACAAAAAGGAACTGGCACGTTTTAAAAAGCTACTAATACAAACAAAAAGAGAAGCGTGGGCTCAGCACTGCTCAAAATTAGTACAAGTATTTGGATCCACACAAAAGATTGCTACAGACAAAATCTTCACACCTCTACAGATAACAGCGCAAATAGCTTCTGATCACTTTAGCCTCTCAGCGGTAATTTCAAAAATTCTACAAAATGTATTTCCCTTAGACAACACACAGGAAGACGACCAGTACTAACAGCAGCTGTGTGCTAAATTTCATACGAGGCAATGGCAAAGCTCCAACTATGACCTTGAAAGGTTTACCAAGGGAGAGTTAAGGAGCATATTAAAAGTCCTTAATAATACTAAAGCCCTGGGTGCAGACGGACTTGATAACATCATGATTAGGGTTATCTTTAAAGCCTTTCTGGAAGTACTGCTTGCGCTTTTCAACGCCTGCTGGAGGATAAACCATTTTCCATCTGGCATGAAGTTAGCAGAAGTAGCATTGCTCCTAAAAAAAGGGAAATCTCCAGAGGACCCTAACTTTTATATAGACCTGTGAGTCTTTTACCCACCATAAGCAAGGTCCTAGAAAGATTAGTACTGGCTCACCTCAATCACTATCTCCAGCCAGGAAGTCATCTGCATAAAAACCAATTTGGCTTTCGCAAAGGTAGCTCCACTTAACACGCTGTCAACAACATGATACAAGTGGTGCAAAACAACAGAGCACACGACATGCACACCATGGTGGTCTCCATTGACATCAAAGGAGCGTTTGACTCACTATGGTGGCCGGACATCATCGATCGTCTACTCACTTTGCAGGCCCCAATTGAAATCATTAACATCTTGTGGAGCTACCTCGAACACAGGAGAATACA